TATTATCTCTTTATTTAGACAAAAGCAAAACTAAATATACTAATCCCATCTTTTTATCCCAAAAACTTGAGAATTGCATGCCACTGTGTATTTTTCAGTCACTTACTTACCCATAATTATTGAAAATTAAAACCCCAAAATATAATAACCATCCCAGCAGGGATGGGATTCAAATTTTTTTACTACTGGTTCTGTGGGCGTGGCTTGGTGGGTTGTGGCAGGGAAAGGATACTGTAAAATCTCCAGTCAGAGGTGGTATTTGCCGGTTCTCTGAACTACTCAAAATTTTCACTACCAGTTCTCCAGAACTGGTCAGAATCTGCTGCATCCCAGGCAAATGAGAAATTATTTTAAAATATAACTATCTCAGTGGTGCCTGGATCTCTTTGGTACAAATGTTGATATCAGTTTCTAATGTATTTATTTTATTTATTTATTTGATTTGCCAATTGTTTACAAGATAATAAGTATAAGTGTATACATAGTTGTGAATACATGAAATGGGTACATATAAGAAAAATAAAAGAAGAATAAGAGAAACAATAGGACAGGGACGGTAGGCACGTTGGTGCGCTTATGCACGCCCCCCCCTAATCTCTAGCAGACTGTATCAGAATTTGCATAGATTTTCTAAAATAAAAATACAAATTATATTGTCACTGTTGATTGATCCTTTTTAAAAGATTATAGCATCTATTCATTTTTTAGAAGCATGTAAAGATAACTAAAAAGTATATAATATTGGGTTTTGTTTTTTTTAAAAAAAGCATACCAGGATAGACATTTAATACTGTATCTTTAAGCGAATGCTAAAATTGTAATTGCAATTGCGTGTGGTGGCCATCTTACACGTAAACTGTCTAGAGCATGTCTTCTGAAAGGTATGTTAGCTCATTTGAACTTCATGAAAAGAACTTTTCAAGAGCTACATGAAAAGGAACTGATATTTTCAGAGCTGCATCAAGTTTACATCATTCTTTCCTCATTGGATGAAAGCTATGATGATTACGTATCTTCACTGGAAGTCTTGACCAGAGATGAACTGACATAACCAGAAGGTTGTTAGAAGAGGCAAGAAGACAGCTGGATAGGGACCAACTGAGAAAGGAACAAGCACAAGAAGAGGATTTGTGTTCAACTGCCTATACTGTTAGGAAATGTTTTTCTTGTGGGGCTAGGGGACATATAGCCAGATTCTGTACAAAGGGAAAACGACAGAATACTGGTAATTACCAGAAGGCTAAGAAGAATGTTAGTTTAGCTATGTCTAGCAATTCAACTTTAAATCATGATTTGTGGGTAGTTGATAGTGGAGCATCACAGTGCATTATTAAAAATAGAGAGAGGTTTTTAAAGATGTCCATGAGTAAGCAACATGTATCATTGGCAAATGGATGGAAGATGAAAGCGTCTGGTTAAGGTACTGCATATTGTTCATGTATAAATGAACATTTATCTATGTTATATGTACCTAAACTGAAATTTAATTTGTTATCAGTAAGGGCTTTAGTTAATATTGGTTATGTAGTAACCTTTAGGGGAGATAACTGCATAATAGAGAAAGGGGGTAAAAGTGTTATTGCTAATTTACAGAATGATTTATATGTGATACATGATGACAAATTGAAGATGGCTAACTCGGTTTATAACAATGTTAAGCCACATTGCATATAAATGTATACATTTACAAATGCATACATTTACTGCATAGACGTCTAGGGCACATTAATTTCAAAATGTTGAAACAAACTGTTAAATTGTCAGAAGGAGTAAAATTAAAACCTTGTAGCAAGTATTTAAACTATAATGCCTGTAGTCAGGAGAAAAGCAAGGTTACTCCAGCAAACAGACTAAATGGGTTTAAGACCAAAGAACCTTTAGAGGTTGTGTTTGCAGACATAATTGGTCCTAAGAAACCCCGGTTTGGGAGGTGTCTGCTATATTTTGAGTATAATGGACCATTACTCCCGGTACGGTTTCTGCTATCTCATGAAAAACAAAACAGAAACATTCTAACATTTCTTTAATTGGCTAAGGTTTGCAGAGAGAAAAAAGAAACATAGGGTAATTACTTTAGCTACTGATAACAGGACTGAGTTTATTAACAATAGATTCCAAACAATGCTAAAATTGGCTGGTGTCGAGCATAAGCATTCTGCACCTTACAGGCCACAACATAACTCGTTTGTAGAATGAAGAGGGCAAACGTTACAAGCCATGGCTCGCATTATGTTATCTGATCCAGGTTTGCCTGAAACACTGTGGGGTGAGGCCATAATGTGTAGCAACCATGTGTTAAACAATGTGGTTAACACAACAACTGGTGAATTGCCATTCACTCGGTGGCATGGCAGAAAACCAAATTTAAGTTATCTACACACATTTGGAGCTCCAGCATGGGTTCATATTCCCTCACAACTAAGACTGAAAGGGCAACATAGAGCTAGGAAATTATTTTTCGTAGTTACGAGGCCAACCATAGCTCGTTTAGATTTTGGGATCCAGGCACAGCTCATGTTTACTGTAGCGCTAGTGCTAAATTTCTTGAGCACATTGGGTGGAATAAACTGGAACAGGAATCCAGCAATGATGTTATAATTGACACCCAAGTAGTCCCTAAAGATGAAATAATTAAACCATCAATAGCCATTAAAGAGGAAGCACAGGAGGAAGTAGGAGAACAGGCACAGGAGGAGGTAGAAGAACAGGAGCAGGCGGAACAGGAGAGTCCACCAGTAAGCCCTGTATTACCTAGACGTTCAACCCGAGTAACATGGTCACCTGATAGATATTAGGCTAGTGTTGTATGCCAAGTGAATACACTTCCTGGTAACTATAATGAACTGAAACTGTATCCTGCTAAGCATCAGGCTGCTTGGCAGGAAGCTTTGGATAAGGAACTGAAATCCTTACAAAGGCTGGAGGTATACAAAAATGTTAGGTTACCACCAGGTAAACATGCCCTAGGGTGTAAATGGATTTATAAGATTACGACAGGTGTGGATGGGACTGTTACCCATAAAGCCAGATTAGTAGCACAAAGGTTCAATCAGACAGCAAACGACTATGATGAGGTGTTTGCGCCTAGTCTGAAGGCTAATACATTACGAGCAGCATTAGTGTGGGCAGCTAAGGAGAAATACATTATAAATCATTTAGATGTAGAGACGGCATATCTGCATGCACCGTTGCAACACACTGTATATTTAAAGAAACCTTTAGGTATCAAACATGATAATACAACTGATTGCTGGAGATTGAAAAAGAGTCTTTATGGCTTGAAGCAATCAGGATATGAGTGGAACCAGTGTATAGTTAAGGAATTAACTAAGATAGGTTTTGTAGCTGGCATGGTTGATCCATGTTTGTTTAAAAAGGAAAGTGAGGGTGTAATTTCATTGTTGCTATTGTTTACTGATGACATAGCATTAATCACCAAAACTGAACAAGAAGCTACTGGAATAATTTCACTATTAGAAAAGAAATTTAAAATAAAAGAGTTAGGTGAAATAAAACAATATCTTGGTTTAAAGATAGATAAAACTAGGGGAGGATACAAAATCTCACAGGCAGATAAAATTAACCAATTACTAAAGAACTTTAAAATGGAACTTTGTAAACTGGCTAAAACACCGATGAGCCAGGAGTTTAGCCACAGTGATGTTCAAAGTCCTGTTTTAGATAAGAACATTTATCAGTCTTTGATTGGTAGCTTATCTTATCTCAGTAATTGGTCAAGGCCAGATATAGCATACAGTGTTAACCAATTAGCTAGATTTAACGCTGAGCCAACTGAAAGGCTCTGGCAAGCTGCTAAACGTGTGTTAAGATATCTGAAACAAACAATGCATTATGCATTATATTTGGAGCCTAAGGATGAACTGAGTTTAGTTGCATATGCTGATGCAAGTTTTGCTACAGATGTAAATACACGTAAATCAACATCAGGTACTGTAGTATTATTAGGAAAGGTGTTGATCGGATGGAGGTCTATTCTACAGAAACATCTAAGTTTATCAACAATGGAGGCTGAATTCTCATGTTTGTCTTTATTACGTACAGATTTAGTTTGTTATAAGCAACTATTGATTGATATGAGAATTGATGTAACAGATTCTACTGTTGTTTATGAAGACAACCAATCAGCAATACAGATGGCTTCCAATCTTGCTATAAATACAAGATCAAAACACACAGATTTAAGATATTTAAATGTGAGACAATGTGTACAAAGTAAAATGATTAAACTGGAGTACTGCATGTAAGAGAATAACATTGCAGTTCATTTTACAAAAGCCCAAGGCTCTGTAAAGCATAAGGCTTGCTGTGAAGGATATGGACTTAAACTGTAAGGTTTTATATATTGTCCTACCCAAAGGGGAGAATGTTAGGAATTGTTAGTCACCTAACAGTTGGCTTGGAAATATATAAACCAGGATAGATATTTAATACTGTCTTAAGGGAATACTAAAATTGTAATTGTGTGTGGTTCCTCAAACAGCCATAAGATGGAACCAGAAACCTGGTTTCTTAGTTCTGTTGTTGTTAGTTGCTAGTTGCTAGATGTTCTGATGGTCGATGTTCTTGGTTCCTGCATTTCCCTTTTGACTGTTGCGGATCATTGTTATTCTTGGATTGATGTGAGTCCAATACTGAACTGTTTTTGATACTGGAGTTTGTTATTGGATTATCCCTGGACTGAAAACTGACTGCTATAACTGTGTATGACTTGGACTGTTTGTTGGACTTTGCTTAACCGTTTACTGGAAGTAAAAAACCTACATTTTACCATACAGTGTATCTGTGTGTTGGTTGTGTGTTATTCTTCACCACTCTCACTATGTCTCCCTGTGTGCGCTCATTCTCCTAACAGGGAATTACCTCAACAGTAACCTTCCCCCAGGAATGGGGAGGTAATGGGGATTTTACAGTATCCTTGCCCTGGAATGGGCTGGGAATGGAGATTTTACAGCATCCTTCTCCTGTCATGCCCACCAAACCACACCCACAGAACTGGTAATAAAAAATTTTGAACCCCCCACTCCTTGTCATTGTATTCATGTCGCAAGCTGCTAAGGCACTTCTGGGTTGAAAGGATTAGCCGATGACAGCTCATGATTAGCTGGTGATTAGGCTTGCCTGCGGAATACCCAGTTAGGAGCTCCTTTCATGTCCTGCTAATATGCCCACCAAAGTAGTACCTATCTACCAACTTACAATTGCTCACTTTGAACTATTAGATTGACAGGAGCTGGAGCAAATGACGGGAGCTCACCCCACCAAAGAGCAGCATTGGATATCAAATATCGGCTTGTTGATCATCAACCCAGCATCCTAACCATGTGAGCACTGCTCTCATAAAATGGCTTAGTGTCTACCATAAGCAACAAAGCCATTTCACTGGTATTGCTGAAATAACTTTTGGTACAGTTCACTCAACACAATATTAAAATTAAAATCTATCAGTAGTGATACTGATTAGAAAATAATTGAGTTCAAACTAAAAATAAATGCGAAGGATATAATATAATAGATTATTTCAGATATAATCTAATAAGCTATTGTACTTGAAAATACTTGTACTCTCCACATGGGAGGTAAATGTGCTAGCAAAACCGTAGCCTGAATATTGAATAATATTGATACTATTTATATGCAGCATGATTTAGCCTTGCCATAGTGCTAAATTCATAATTTTAAAAAAATACAAATAGAGAATTGAACATCAGAACACTTGGGCACAACATGGTCACTGAAATAGCTGTTTCATCTGCTAGAATTTTTGTAATCACATTCCCAACATTATTTGCCATTTTTAATTTTTAAAAATTGCTGCTGATTTTTTAACCATTTTGCCACAAATTTGAGTGGATGCTAACGGATCACACAAGGCACCATATACAGCTTGCAAGGTGCCCATTCCTGGGCTCATATGAACTTATCCACTGGCTTGTTCAACAAATAATATAATGTATGAATCCAGCCTTTCTCTTACTGAAATACATACATTTAAGGGGCAAAAAGCAAATGAGAAAGAAATACTTAGCTATGTATCATAAGAATTTGTAAGTCTAAAATATATATTTGTGGAAGAATTTATACAGCATCACCATATGCATTTGGAACTGCACCCATGCATAAGACATAATGAAAATAATAAGATTGTAGTTTTATGGACCATCATCACTGTTTCTATTTGGAAGCGTGAAGTTTTGAAATCTCCAGTAAAAAGGAGGCAAACATCTTCGTTCCACTGATATAGTTAAATCTGATCAGGAAAGGGAAGAAGGAAAGAAAAACAATTATCAAGCAATCTAAAAGTTAAAGGTGCTTTGTTGCTTTGAAGTTCTAAATAGCTGGGCTGTAGGCTGAGTTTGATATATGAACCTAGATATTTTGTTTAGCTTTTGGCTTAATATTATGTCTCAAAGAGATTGCAATCATTCATCCAACAAATCATAGTTGAAACAAATACTAGCTTAACACAAAATATGAATCAAGTTTATATAACCTAAAACCTCTATAAACTATGAAATGAGACAGGTACTAATGCATGCAAAAAGGAGGACAGAGGAATAATGATCCACTTCCATAACCATCCCCACCATTGATCAAAATATAAATGATGAAATGGAGCATATTCCTTTATGCTAACATATGAAATTAATTTAAATTTTTAACCTGCTTATTTTCTCTTTTTGGGAATGTTCCCCATCATCCGCTGCACCAATTGGGAGCATCATCACACTCTTCCTTGTTATATTCTGGAACACTCTGGCAATTGGAATTGTTGATCCATCCCGGATCATATCTGGATCCTGATTAAACACTAAAACATAGAAAAGGAGAAAATATATTCCTGATGTAATATTTTTTGTGATGGCAAAATACAAAAATAAAACAAGATATAATTACTGGAAAAGTAACATTGCTAAACATCCAAAATGCCTAAGTATGCGTCATTGGTGGTGCAGTGGTTAGAATGCAGTACTGCAGGCTAATTCTGTTGACTGCTGGCTACAGCAGTTTGACAGTTTGATTCTCACCGGTTCAAGGTTGACTCAGGCTTCCATCTTTCTGATGAGTAAAATGAGAATCCAGATTGTTGTGGGCCATATGCTGACTCTGTAAACTGCTTAGAAAGCACTGTGAACTGGTATATAAGTCTAAGTGCTATTGCTATTCCATAGAAACTAACTGAGCAATTCCAAAGTTCCCTGCTGTGCTTAAGTTTGAAAAGACATAGGAAGCTGGAATTGTTACTTTTTATCCCCTGACCTTCCTGATCTCTATCATGATCTGTTTTTGAAATCCCTTCAAAAGTGCTTATGATGCAACATACAGATGTAATATTTGAAACATCCTTATAAAATAAAAGTACTGTTGTGTAACTGAACCATAGCTTCTTTCTATATCTGACAATCTTCTGCTTTCAGTTCTCTAGAACTTTAAATGCACAAGTATAACATAAATGATTGGTCTTTGCTAATTGCCCTTATAAAGACAGTGAAAAGCCACATGCAAAACATAAACTACAATGCCTAAAACAGTACAAACCTTTCCTGATTGCCTTTTTAGCAGCTGTATACTGAGGGTCATTAATATTAGCAATCCAGGGCATTGCACCCATTAGCATAGACACTGTCAGTTTATTTGGACTTCTTCGATTAGAGTATACATCTTCTAAATGTTTTTTCACCTTAAAAAAATAAATAAATTATTGTCAGGGTTTTTTAAATAGTCTTCATTGAGACCAACAGTGATACAAGCAAAAATCAGTCTTGTTAGGAAAGGCTGTCTAATAAAAACATATCCAGGTCTTCTCTTATTATAAAATCATCCTGGACAGCTGTGAAACTTCCTTCCCTCCCTCTTTTGGGAAGATTTACAAGCAACTTCCATCCAGGTTCACCCTGCAGCCTCGCCCATCCTCTTGCCTGGGCAGCAGTTTGGCTTTACATTGCCAACCTTCCTCCCGTGGCGGGTGTCAGAGGGGAAGGACAAGCCCCCTCAGCTCCAGCAATGCCCTGTGTGCCGACTCCCGATCTGGGGCTCACCATACCTGCTCTCCGTTTCACTGCCATAGCTGTCACCAGGCTGCCAGCTCCCCACGAAGGATTGAAATCGCCCAAGCCTGTGGGGAGGCTCCGGTGGGGATTGGTAGTAAGCGAGAGGGGTGAGAGAGCTCAAAGAGACTGGCTTCATTCCAGGCCGGTGTGGACTCGGCTGAGTTGGGATGGGTCTAAGGGGCCAAGGGCAACAACTTTGCAAGTTCAGGAAGAAACACCTGACCCAGCTCAGGCAGGAGGGAAAAGGAAAGCTGTCTATGAGGAAAATATGCAGTTTGACTGATGGCGGAACAACTCGTGATCCTACGGCTGCTGACCGCCTGCACACACTTTGGTGTTTCCTTTGCATTTACGCGCCCTGCTTCAGATGATCAGGGCGAAGAACAGCTGGGTGCAAATAGTGCGATACACTGTGCATTTGTGTCAGATTACATCTAAACGCTCGGGCACCCATCCTCTGTGCGAGTCAGCTAAAGTTATTTCAAGATGAAGCACATTGGGGGGGAAATAGCCTCGTTACACAATTTTCCTGGTTCCTCATCCCGTCCCCGCCTATCCTTTGCCTGTTATTACACCAATGGATAGTCAGGACAATCTATAGAAAAATACTTTTTTGGCTTTATTCCATGGCAGGCAGTAATACTCACATGCTTCCCTTCATGAGAGTTGTGGGGGGGGGGGGGAATTTTCCTGGTTGATCCCCCTTTGGGAAAGCTTGCAAGTCCCTCTGCTGAACGGGAGCTATTTCCGAAGGGAGGGGGACTTGCAAGCTTTTCAATCTTGGGAAAGGCTCCCTCGCTCTCCCAGCTGGAAGGAACAGTGGAGAGGTTTGTGAGTCATGTCGGCTCTGGGCTCCTTCTCTCACCTGCTCTTGCTGGGGAAGTGAGGGAGCCTCTTCCCAAGAGCGAAAAGCTTGCAAGCCTCCCATTGGAAACAGCTCAGGCAGTGTAGAGAAGTAGGATTCAACCGGGCTGCTTCTCTGCTGCACGGGAGCCGTTTCGAAGGGAAGGGAACTTGCAAGCTTTTCCCTCTTGAGAGAGGCTCTCTCGCTCTCCCAGCTGGAGCAGCAGGTGAGTTAAGCAGTTGCTGACCTGGTTGGAGCCAACAGGAGCCTCTCCACGTGTTCCCCAGTGGAAGGGAAGTGGTGGTGATGGGGAAAAGGCGACTGACAGTGGCGGCAAAACACAAGTGGTGGGCGGAGGGAAGGGGCGAAACAAAAGGCAAGTGGTGGGGAATTCGACCGGGGCTTGCACTCACCCAGGGAGATCATCACATCAGGCAGGACCGCAGAGAAAGGCAGGTAGCAATGGCTGGCCTGGCAGGCAGGCAAAAACAGACTGCAAGGATGTCACGCATGTGCACGATGTTGCACATGCATTATAGGGATTGAAGAAGCGGGCGGAGAGGGCCAGGGCCAGCCAGAGGCCCGATTTACTTGTTCTCCAAACTACAGAGAATCATAACAACTGGACTGGTCCGAACCGGTAGAATCCCACCCCTGATGTCAGCTTTTCATCAATCTTCTTGGCCCACTGTTGGCCCAGCAAACTGTTCAGAGATTATATTATAACATGAGAATGGAATAATCTAATAGGATGACAGAGCCCTAATATCAAGACCTCTTGCACATAATTCAATGTTTTTCTTAGCTGCTCATTTTTTATATCTCATGAAAAAGAAGCTTGGTGCCAAAACTGTGTCAGACTAAGCCACTCAGAATTATGCTGAAAATCAATAACAAATCATCTAAGTTATGTTGAGAGTCATAAGGTTTCAGGAAAATATTACCTGGTGTTCCACTTTAGACAGATCCATATGAGGGACTTGCCGGATTGAAAACTTTGCTGTGACTTTTGATGGTATAACCGTTTTGATACCTGGTTCATGAAAAGCTCCCTCTATCCCATGAATAGAGAGAGATGGCAGGCGCCACATATGTGAGAGTATTTTCTCCTTAAAAAGAGAATGAACAAAGTGAAATAGAAAACTTTAGCCAGAGTGTATTCAGTAAAGCTACAGTAGTGAGCAATGATATCACTTTCAGGATATTTTTACATATTACTCCAATTCCACTGCTTTTCAATGACTGCTCACACCTAACTAAAATAAAGTTTAACAGCCAATCATAAATAGTTGACAATATTAAGCATACGTTAATCATCTAACATAGATTAGATTAGGAAAGCAAAATTATTGATGTTAATGCTATGTATATTATAAAGTTATAGGAATAGAACCTGCATGTTTGAATGTGCTTCCCTTGTCCCTCCCTTGAACTTTGGAGAACTAGGAATGGTCAGTTCTCAGGGGAGAAATAAACTGAAGATGGCTTCCCTAAAAACAGAACCAACAACAATAGTGGAATGAAGAGCCAGCAAATAGACAGGGTCTTTATGAGCCATGGTGGCATAGTGGTTATAATGCAGTACTGCAGGCTACTTCTGCTGACTGCCGGCTCCCAGCTGTTTGGTAGTTCGATTCTCACCAGCTCAAGGTTGACTCAGCCTTCCATCCTTCCGATATCAATAAAATGTGGACTCAGAGTGTTGGGGGAAATATGTTGACTCTGTAAACCGCTTAGAGAGTGCTATAAAGCACTGTGAAGTGATATATAAGTCTAAGTGCAATTGCTAGTTATAGTTCCTCTCCAAGGAAAAGACTTGAGTTGAGCTTATCCACAAGTGACACAAGAAGACCACAAGATAGTGATGGCTATCTTGTTCATACCAGAGTCAACACCTTTAAAAGGACACTGGGCTGACAGAGAGGCAAGATAGGTATTTGCAAAGGGGCACAATGTCATATAAGATAGCTTTATCTCTGGTAATATCACACTACTAACCAGAGCATACAAAACATTTGCTAGACCAATACTCGAATACAGTTCATCAGTCTGGAACCCTCATTACGTATCTGATATTAGCACAATTGAGAAAGTCCAGAAATATTTCACAAGAAGAGTTCTCCACTCTTCTACTCGTTGTAGAATACCTTATGCCACCAGACTTGAAATTCTAAAACTAGAAAACCTTGAATTACGCCGTCTTCGGTCTGACCTAAGCATGGTATATAAAATCATACATTGCAATGTCCTACCTGTCAATGAATACTTCAGCTTCAACCATAACAACACAAGAGCACACAATAGATACAAACTCAAAGTAAACCGCACCAAACTTGATTGCAGGAAATACGACTTCAGCAATAGAGTGGTCAATGTCTGGAATACTCTACCCGACTCT